TTCCTTGATACCCTGAGATATTATTATGCCTCATGATTTTTATATTCGTTAGACTTAAGTTATATATATATTTTTTACTTGAAAAACTTAAATTCCAGAAAAGTACTTTCATATTTCTGTTTCCAAATACTACATATTTCTTTCTAGTGTATTTTCTTTCAATCAAATATTTTATGTCTAATTCGAAATTAATTAATTATTTAACATCATAATTACTTGAAAATACCACATTTTTTTTCTTAACAGATATATATATATAAATAGTACAATTTTCAATAGTTTCAATAAATTCATTCTTTAAAAGCATGTGTACAAAAAGGCACAATACACTCATTACATTTTACATAATATACTTCCCTAGTGTAAAATGAAATTACATTAGTTTACTTATATTGTTTGAAGGCAATTAATTTATTCGACAATCATAATTGTTGCGCTGCGTTGCTTCCTTTTTTTTTCTTCTTAAAACAACTCATTTCGCCACATTTTTTTTTGTTTTCATACTTATTCAACTTTCAATCTTTAGTAGTAAATAGTTAATTCTGAGAAAAGAGAATAATTTCTTAAATAAATGTTTGCGTGTGTGTGTTGATTTGTTGGTTCCCTATTTTTCGTTTCTATCATTCAGCTTTGAAATTATTGTCGAAAATAAAGTAGACATAAAGTATGTAAACTAAGTAGAGAGTAGTGAAAGAGTGACTTATTGTTTTTTTTCTCACAGTTTATGATGGAGGAAATAATACAAAGTAATGCATGACTATTAAAATGAATTAATATAAATTATTTACTAATCTGAATAAACAAACTGTTGAAACGATTAGATCGTGAACAGATTACGAGATGATAATAATAATAACTTTATGTCTCAATAAAAAATTTCAGATAAAACAGAGAAGAAGCGACGGATTGTTGTTGATGTTTACATTACCGGAGGAGGAGGAGGAGGGGATTTTAACCGCGGAATTGTTAACAACTAGCGGAAGAAACATCTGTTCATTAAACTTCAATTCAACAGGGGTGTAGGTAGCGATACTCTACAGAAAAGACTAATGAAAGTAGTTAGTAGGACATTCTACGCAACCAATCGTGCGTTGACTTTCTCGAGTCAACCAGTGATGTCTACTCAAACGAAGGATATACTACATGAGTTGACCTCCTCAATGTTCATTTACAAATTCAACTACTCCTGTGGAAATAGCTATATCGGGCCTATTACCAGACAACTTAACCAACGAATGAATGAACATTTCGTAGCATGGTTTGGAAAGCGCCAGATAAAAACAATTTGCAGTTCTATCTTTGTACAACACCTTATTAAGAGCGGTCATTATGTAGATGAATCGGAATAATTTCCAATGAGCTATCGTATACCTCTATCAGTTCCAAACGGAGTTCGATCTCATCTCTTAGATATTGCAGAAGCCATGGAAATTCGTACATTTAGTCCCAATTTATGTGTTCAAAAGAAATTCCTGACACCCTTGTCCCTTCTATGGCTCGATATAAATTGATAAACGATTTAAAAAATTTTTTGTATTTTTCATTTCATTTTTGCTATAATTAGCATTATTTTCACATCCTCTGCTTGTTTGTAATTTTCTGACTCTTTCCGTTAATATTCTTCACTATCTAATTATTTACAAACTTCTTATTACGTAATAGTTTCAAAGCTTTGTGACGATTATTTTAAGGGCATTTATCCACCTTTGACCACTAGTATTTCCAATGTTGAACTTTTGGCAAAAACGTTTGTTATCGCATCCTATCATTCTTACTACCATCAGTACACCTGCCTTCCTATTATCAATTTGCACTTTGACCTAGTATGTGTAGTGAAGCGATCTACTTCATTGTGATTATGGTCTCATAAATAAATTGCCTTGATTTGCTATAGCATTTTCATATAAATATTCACGTATATTAAAGAGTAAAGCCTAATGACGATCTAATCAGACACAACAATTCTGTTCGCTTACATGTGTGTTGTTCAAATACTAGACATTTATTTCATTTTAGTAAAGGACTCTCAGTAGTTTCAAACTACAATTTTCCTAGAAATAGGACCTATAAACTTGAGGTCTCCAAACAAACATGTTTCCTCCTAAGCTTAAATTTATAATTTTCATTGTTGTTTCACTAAATTTTTAACCTTTCTTCTTATAGTTAATTTTTTAATTTAGTTAAGTGTTCTTAATTAGTTTTCGTTTGAATATTCACAAGTATTTCGCATTTGTTCCAAAGTTTTCTGTAATCAAAGACATTTCAAATAAATAGACCCTATCATGTGCTAACTAGTGACTAGATCCGTGAGGGAGTTTCTCAAAGTTCTAATAAGAAGATGTGACCAGTGGAGTATAACACTGTTCAGGTGTAAAGCAGTGATCAGCGGAGTCAGTGGATGAGATTGCACAAGACCGTGGATTGATCGAAGTTAGACAATAACATCGTTAGGTACCGACTGAGTGGTCCAGGGTCGTGGGTTCGAACCCTGCGGGTTGCAGGAGTCATGGATGCAAACTGAGGACGTCCATTGTTTCCGGGCACCTAATGATGACCTAGCATTGATGGATTCATGATTTCAAAAAAAAGCTAACTCAAAGTAAACCTTGTTTAAAAAATCATTCAAAATTATAGCGTAAAACATATTAATTCAATTTTTTGATTAATTGGTGGTACATTTAACATCTCTGATAGCTTGAGCGATTCGAAGAAAAACTTTCAACTGATATAGTAGATAATATAACAAAACAAATTTAAGCTGTTTAATGAAGATTGTAAATATGGTATGAGAAAAAAAATCGCAATCAAAGTTCACATCTCTCAGTCGACTATCTCAATCATTCAATAGCGAATACTCGATAAAATTCATGTATTTTGGGGCACAGATTTGGAGGTTTGCGTTTTTACATATTTGAAATCATCAATCAATCATTGCTAGACCACCATTAGAAACCTGGAAGATCATTCAGAGTTAGACATTAACACCATTGCATACCGGCCCAGTGGTCCGATAGTAAGGCTTGCGCCTACAATGCCGAAGGTACCGGGTTCGAATCCTGCGAGGAGCAGGAGTCGTGGATGCGCACTGCTGATGAGTCCCATACCAGGACGAAACGGCCGTCCAGTGCTTCCAGGTTTCTTAACAATGATTGATTGATGATTTCAAAAGTGTAAAAAAATCCATGTAATCCTTCTTATACGGACAATATTGTGTGCCGTAAATATTAACCATCTATATCTGACTAAATATGAACTTTTATTTAATTGACCCTTTATTAATCTATACATAAAATGCCTTGACAAGTGTAGGTGTGTTTGATCAGATTGTTTGAGATGTATAGCGCAGAAACACATCACAATTTTCAGATCACTTACGTCTTCTCACTGTTCCATCAAAATCGATAAAACGGACTAATTATTTTAAATATGAATACTTCAATACTTGAATAATGAAGTCTCTTCGAGCTAAATAATTCCCTATTTATTATTTAAGATAATAATTGCATGATGAAAACTAAATTTTGATTTGGCGGTTGAAATGTGTGTCGTTTACAATTAGAGCTGAGAGTCTTGTATTCAATCTCTGACATGGTTGTGGATATAAACTACAGATTGATCTTAAACTAGAATGAAAATTTTGCCATAACATTATGGTTTCCTATAATTCCCTAATTAATATCAATTTTGTGATGATGTCGTAAAGATATCGAGAGAATAGATAGTCTTTTGAAAAGTTGGAAATGCATTCCCATCCATTTTGATGCAAAGCTTTGCTTTGTGAACGGTTTGCTTCGTTGTCTGGACTGACCACAGAGGATGAGTTAGTCGAATGCGTAGTAAACTACTTTATTTATGCTGAAAGTTTCTCTTCTCCTCTTTTGATTGGATTGCTTGCTTTGAGTAGAGTTGTGCATTTTGATTGTGAATTGAAGCACTCTTCCAGAATAGGAAACACTCCGTGTTATAAAGCAACCAAATACTATCTGTCGAAAGAATCTGATCTATTCAGGAGGGATAAAATATCATTTATTTGAATAATTGAAGAATTGTTGGTAGAATAACTGTGGTAATATTGCTTAGGAAATTATGTATATTTATATTTATGATGAATATTAGAATCGTTGTTTACCCAAATCACTTTTACTGAATTCAACTGGGCAAGACGCGTATCTAAACTACCTAGACAGTTATTCCTCAGTCCAAACCTCATTTTGGATCGTACACTCATGGAGCGACCAATTTTAGACCACTATTAGAAACTTATGAGCACAGAATGGCCGTTTTGTCCTATTGTATGGGACTCTTTAACAGTGAGCTTTCACGATCCCCATTCATGGAAATCCAACCCACAACCTGAGGTCCCTCACACGTACGCCTAACCTCTATACCACCGAGCCAGCATCCAACTGTGTTAATGTCTAACTTTGATCAATCTAAGGTTTTCGCAACCTCACCGAATGTCTTTAATACTTACTGCCTACAACCGACAGGGTTAAATTCCATCGCTGAAGAGTCCCATACTAGGACGAAACGGATAATCAGTGCTTTCAGGTTTCTAATGGGGATCCAACAACGACAGACAACGAACTACATAACTCTATAATAAAGATCATTTGTTTATTATGTAACGAAATATTTGTAAAGTAGATTACAAGAGAAATTAGAAAAAAAGTGACATTAGAACAAGAGATGCAATCATATCGATACATAAACATTTGAAATTTTATCACAGAATAATGAATTCAAAGAAATAATCTGTTCAATAAATGTCTGTTTTTTTCTTTTTTGAAAACTTTTATAGATTTTCTGTTCAACTGATTAATGAATTTTGTTCATTTATGGAATTGATTACAACATTTGAATTATCTTCAAGACTATGTTCTTCAACTTGATGATGAAGTACAGTCATTTCGTCGGTGAATTCCTGCAAGTTCAATAAAAAATGTATTGTTTGTATATGATAATACTAATAATATTTATTATAATAATGAAATGAATAACTGTGAAACCATTATTAAGACAGACAACAATTTACTATATATAATGGTCCAGAGGTTAGGCGTTCGCGCGCAAGGCCGAAGGTCGCGGGTTCGAATTCTGAGAGTAGGAGGAGGAGGAGTCGTGGATGCGCCTTGCCACTGATGATGATGATGACGAAATGGCCGTCCAGTTCTTCCAGGTTTCTAATGGTGTTCTAACTTTGATCGATTCATGGTTTCGAATAATGTATATTGAATTGATAGATATTTCAAAATTTCTTACAAGTAAAATAGTTATTATAGTGTACGTTGGAGATTGTTGTTTGTATCACTGAAATCATGATTCAATCATTGTTAAACCACCGTTAGAAACTTAGAAGCTCTGAAAAGCCGTCTTGTTTTAGTGTGGGACTCTTCAGCATTGTGTATCCACTACTTCCAAGTGTAGGGATCAAACACAGGATCTTCCACCTCGCGCGTGAACACTTAACCTCTGGACCACTGAGCAGGTATCTGACTGTGGTAATGCCTGACTATGACCAGTCTAGGGTTTCGCGCAAATTCGTCCATTGTCTTTGGTAGTTGGTGTCTCACACCCGACAGGGTTGAAGTCCAGTGGTCACGTGAATACTCACCGCTAAAGAGTCCCATACTAGGACGAAACTGCCGTCCATTAATTTCAGGTTCCTAATGGTGGTCAAAAATTATTGATTCATGATTTCAATACGAAAATTAAGATAATTACAATTATACTTTTTGGTTGAATAATTTTTTTTCTAAATATCAGATTGGTGGAAAAATAATATTAAAGTCAATATCGTTTAAAATACCAGAAAAAACCAGAAAACAAAAAATAATTTTATTGTTTAGATATGATTTTATGGATTAAATGTGTACCTCATTGATAGGGAGCGAAGTAGTCGATAGTGTAGACCGCCTCACTTATCTTGGGAGTCTCATCAGTGCTGATAGCCTGCTGACAGACGAAATCTCAGCTCGGATACATAAGGCTCGATTGGCTTTTGCCAACCTGAGATATCCGCTTGCTAAGCGAAGGACGAGTGTACTGTGCAGCAGTTCGCTCTGTCCTACTCTATATGGCTGTCAAACATGTCCGCTAAGAGTAGAGGACTTCCGTAGGTTACTAGTCTTCGATCATCGTTGTCTCCGAAGCATTGCTTGTGTTTCCTGGGACAACCGTATAAGCAATTATGTCGTTAGGAAACGAGTTCTAGGTAAGGATGGCAAATCAATAGATGAAGTATTGAAACTTCATCAGTTGATGTGGTTGGTATATGTGTTGCGTATGCCCAACCACCGACTGCCTCGACGACCTATGTTTTGTGGTGTAGGAGTAGGTTGGAAGAAAGCTAGGGGCGGCCAAACCAAAACATGGCAGAAATCCATGAAGTCACTGACTAGTGGACTGAGTCATGTTGGAAGATGTAGGCTACCTGGTTGGGATCCATGAGACGAAAGTCACCGATGGTTAGAGACGTTGAACGACATGGCTCAAAATCGTTTGTAATGACGCAGGTGCATTCATTCTTTGTGTTCTCGCAAATTCTAACCTTCTGAATTCCAGATCATCTCCATCAAATGAACTTATAATCACTAAGAATCTAAATGATCAGTTGTTACATCTGATCATTTCTCTAGATACATTTATCAGTTCATCTACTCATAAAAAACAGTGGAGAATGAAATCAGGAAGAAGTGCTGCAAGTGGATAGGACACGCAGTCAGGAAAATATCCGACCGCGTCACAAGACAAGTTCTCACTTGAAATCCTCAAGACCAAATGAAAAGAGGAAGACCATAAACACATTACGCCGAGAAATGGAGATCAACTTGAGGAAATTCTCTGAGTTCTGGTTAGAATACGTGACCTGTGGAATTCAACCCTGTTGGTTGTAGGCGGTTACCCAACGAAGACAATGGATGCGGTTGCTCAAACTACTTTGATCGATCAAAGTTTGAGATCAACACAGTTAGATGCCATCTCAGTGGTCTAGAAGTTAAGCGTTCGGGTGTGAGAGAGAATTTCTTGAGTTTGATTCGCGCTAGCGGGGTTATGGATGCACACTGCCAATGAGTCCCATATTTATGATGGTGGTCTGTCAATGATCAATTCACAATTTCAATGAAACTCAATGAACTCCATAACTCTATAGTGAGAAGCATGATAAACTAGTGAACAACGGATTCACACACTTAAAACTTAGTGAAAATACTAACATTAAGGTTTATTAATAATAATTTTTGCAAGTTTAATGATAGAAAAAAAACGTTAGTCAAGAAATAGATTTATTTTCTAATGAAGTGGAATATATCATTCCGTAGCCAAATAAATATTCTATTCCAATCTTGCCTTTTCACTCAAGTGACCAGTTTTCTTTTTGGACGGTTTAGCACGTATTTTAATCAGATCTCTGACAGTGTATGTCATAACAAGTGATATTGATCGCAATGATCACTTTTTTTAAAAAAACTTTTATGCAATCATTTTCAGTGATCACTTACTTTCAAACAAAGATGACATATTTTCGAAGCTTTATAACTATCCACTTTTGATGCGATTTCATGAGGTAAAAGTCCAAGAACTGGATGTGAACGTAACAAAAATATAAAATCTGTTTGTTCTTCATTCGACTGATTTTGTTGGCTTGATAAGTTAAATTCATTAATTTTCTTGTTTTCAATTTGATCCGATGATATCGTATCGACTAATTTGTGTGTGAATTCTTGTGTTTCACCATTTCTTTGAAACTAAAATATTAATTGAATATTAATTAGAAAAGATTTTTATCATAAACTACTGTAAGTTGATAAACTGGTTAAAATCGATCGGGTAATGGAGAGATGTTTCTATAGAGTTTGGGACATTTAACTAACTCACACTTAGGCCCACATCAATAATGAACGATGTCAAACTATTTAGAAACTTAACATTATTGTGTTCACCATGAAATATGGAAGTATTCGGTTTAACCCTTGGCGAAATTGCAGATATACAGTGATTTGATGTATCAAATCAATTAGAAACAATTACTCAATCGTTTGTGTATGTTGAAAAACTAGAATTTAATTGACACATTGGATAGTGAACTGAGTAATTCAAACAAATATCACACAATATGGTGGGTTGATTCAAATCAGACATTAACACCACTGAATGCCAGGTCAGTGGTCAAGAAGTTATGAATAAGTGTTCGAAGGTGACGACGACCTTAGGTTTAATTCTTTCTTAGCGAGGTTGTGGATACGCACTGCCATTGATAAGTCCCATACTATGATGAGACAGCAATACAGTGCTTTCAGCTTCCTAATGGTTGTCTAACAATGATCGATTCATGATTTCAATGAAAAAGATGAAGAATATTAAATTTAGTAAATATGATATTATTGTAATAAAACAGTGAATTACTTATTTCAGTGCTAAACAGTTTGGAAATTGATTTTTATTTAAACATACCAATCAAAATAAAGTTTCGGTAAGTCAAATTAGCTAACTAACACTTTTTTAATTTCACTAAAATCACGAATCAATCATTGTAAGATCACTATTAGAAATCTGGAAGCAGTGAATGGCTGTTTCGTCTGAGTACATAAATCATCAGTGGCAGTGCGCATCTATGATCGATTCATGATTTCAATGAAACTCAATAATCTTCCCAACTATCTGATCGAAAATTTTTTTTTAATTAACTATTATAAAACAATTAGAGTTACTGAAAAGAGCAAACTGACAAAAAAGAATTATGTACATGAAATTGGGAATAAAATATCTTTGTGATCCTTATAGACATAAAACCTTAGTTCATAAACTTACTCAACTCAATAACTACTTGTATATTTCAAAAGTGACACATTGAATTCAGTGTTACATAATCAGAATTAATACGATCTATTTATTTCATTAAAAAAAACTCCATCTGGAACCCTTCTAGGGTTACTGCCTGTTCTAAGTACTGATAAAGCAGGAGGGTTGAACAGGGGATTAGCGATCTTATCCAGTAGAAATCCAACTCATTAAAAATAAAACTGGCTAACCAGAAAAATAATTCACTGATCGGTGACCTATGCTCCATTAGGGGTAAATAGGCGTAAGTAAGAAAGTAAGTAAGTAAGTATTGATTTTCTAAAACCATTATCCGCAAATCATATTGACTTACATGTACTGATGAATCAAAGGGAATAAATGGTGATGCTGAGGAGGTTAACACTGAAGATGAAACCGATGGCTTTATACATTCTTCACTTTTGCTTAACATATGTTCATTGGAATCTTCAGTGATCAACCTCATAGGTCGGTCTGATATTCCTTCCACATTTGGTTGCATCCAATGCACAGACCATAAACTTGGCCAAAATAACATTGTAAGAAAATCAATAAATGGTTTTGTTTGGCATGTATCATTCATAGTGAATTTATCCGTCTGATTACTTTCATGAGTGATTGATTGATCACTGATTAATTTGTTTAAATCAATGGTTGTTTGTTTATTCGCATTCATTAGATGAGTAAAACTTTTTAAAATAAGGTTGGATTGATTTGATAATTCATTTGAAAATGAATTAGTTTGCTGTTTCATAATTAGTGTATTGTTTGTACTTAGATGATTATGTGATTTGATGTCAGTGAACCATGAACTATTTAAATGTTGGTATATACAAGAGATATTTTCATTTTCATGATTTGAAATTGATTTTTTTGTATCCGTATTCACATAATTGTTACAAGTACTAACACTGCTATTAGTATCATCACTTAAGTGAACAGTAGTATCATTCTCTTGAATTGTTGGCTTTTCTGTTGTAATATGATAATATAAAATATGTACAAGACATTGAATTCGATCAGAAAATATTTCTTCACATCCATTACAACGATAATCAGTCACAAGGTGTTTATTTTGTAAATGGGTCTGAAATAAATAAGTAATATAACTATCAAAAGTTGATTAGATTCTATCTGGTCAGACAGAAACATAAAGTTCAGATGGTGAAGAAAATTTTTAGCTCAAGTCGATTTTTATGGTGGGGTTTTGTTCTCTGAGATGGATGTTTTGGTTGTGGAACTTACATTGTTCTTTTGTCCAACATCATTATCAGTACAAACTTCAGGTAGAAAAGTGAAGTGTCTGAATTTCTTCACGTATAACCCGTAGCTTGTCCTGAAGTTTGTACTGATGATGATGATGATGTTGATTCAAACGTACAGTCCGATCTCGTTAACCGAAACATTCATCCCAAAGAACAAAATTCCACCACAAATAAAGTTGAGTATAGATGTCATTCAATAGTGACTATTTTAACAAGTGTTCAATTTGATTTTTGACAATGAGAAATACAAATTCAACTGTTATCTTAACCACAGAAATGATCAACAAGCCCTGAACATTAAGGTTATAGGCATAGTGACACAGTGAAATTCCAGATTAATTTATCCAACACGCCTACTATATTTGTTAGTCATTTGAAATATTATTCAATCGCTAGGTAGCTAAACTATGAAGAAGCCAGTGAAATGACATATTTTTATCAACTGTGAGAATATTACAGTTTGATATAAAATGTTAACTTTATATGGTGATTCTTAAATGTTTGCACAAAATGAATCAATACCAGTATGATATATATTTTATGCGCATAATGAACGAATTTAACTAAACTCATTTATTGGCTCTAGTGTTGAAACATTTTAGTGACTACGTCTGACTACGCATGATATTTGTTAAAATAAAGATGCAGGCAACAACAACAACGACAGGTTAAAAGTCAATAACAACCAATCAATATCAAGGTTAACAGTAAGAGCTACGAGTCATTCGTGGAGAAATTTGAATTTTTCATTTCTTTACCTGATGTTGTTCAGACGCACAACACCATAGCTGAAACATCCAACTGAACTGCCTATGTTTCTTCATCATTTTTATATGATATTATACAAGTGATGTGATTTATTTAAATCTGTCATTGTTCTCTTGATATAATTTGTGTTAATGACTCTTATTTCTGATATTTTACACTGAGATATCAACCTAATATTTTCTTCACCAGACTATTGAAATACCATAGTAGAAACATTTGGCTTTCCAGTTCTAGACGGCTAGAATACACCTACCTATTCAAGATTCCGCGGGTAATAAGAACCAATAGAGAGAAGAAATTTCTTTTTCGAATAGTTTATCATCATGGTTCTACACTAATAAAGATAGAGTTACGTAATATAACAATCATATAAAATATCACGATGATTAATAAAAGAATATTGCGTCACTGAAAGAAAAAAGTTACTAATGATGAAGCTAATTATTTCAAGAATTCTATTAGATAGTTGTTTCTACGTTACATAATTTACATGAGAATCCAGAGACCAAAACTCATTGTTATACTGATGAACAAAGCGGAGAGAACAAGAGAAAGTAGTTGTGGTACATATTTCTTTTGAATGTAAAGGTTGGGTTTGTGAACATGGGATCCTTTAGCTTTGGTGATATGCAAAAGACGAACGCGTAGACCATATGTTAAATTTGGTGGAATATAGTGGATGAATTTAAGAAGTTTTATTTAGGTCGACTTGATATTTTATGTCCGCCATATGAGGGAGAATAGAATTCTTATTCATCCTTACCAGTTTTTTGTCCAATCAGGATGAATTGAGCTCAAAGTTAATGGGTGTTTGCAGTAACTAATAAAGAAAAAGGGTGAGGTTGTGAAAAACCTTAAGTTGACCTTATGTTAGACATTAAAACCGTTGAATGCGGGCTCAGTGGTCTGGAGGTCAAGCGTTCGCGCGCCAGACCAAAGGTTTTGGGTTCGAATCTTCCGAGTAACAGGAGTCGTGGATGAGCACTGCTGAAGAGTTCAATGCCGGAGCAAAATGGCCGTCCGGTGCTTCGAAGTTACAACTGTTTGTCTAACATTAATCGATTAATAATTTTAATGGCAAAAACAACAATCTCCATAACTGTATAATAAAAAATTATGATGTCCTGTTATACGATGACGGACCTATCGAACTGTGCACCCTATAAAACTGGCTGAATATGAGCAGCTGAATTGATAAGTACAAATAGATTTGACGAATTCAAACAGCCTGTCCTTATTGATGGTTTTCATTGTCGGGTAACTGTAGAAAACCATATTCACTTTGGCTGCAGTGAATGTTTTCTACACCGACTTTCTAAACCTTTGAGCTATGATTTCCCCGGTACCATCATTTAGAAATTGTCATTTTAAGAATAGTATCTTCTTTTGAACGGTATTTGACTTCGGTCCTCTTTTCGTTTCGTTCATATGCTTGTGGATGAATTTCACTGGATATCCTTTCCTACAAAGTATATTGCACATATTAGTCAATTCATAATGAGTTCTGTCATCAGATCATATCCTTCTGATAGGATAAGTAAGTATTTTTACCAAGTTTCTTTCATATCAAATAGGTACTGAGCTATAGAAATCAGTATAGTGTCCAACTGAAGATTTTCCATAAATCCTAGTTAAAAAGAAATTTCTCCATTCTATTGGTTTTCCTAACTAGTTGGTTAATTGGAAATTCTTCCCATACTGAGATCTTCTGATAGAATTTTTGCATTGGAAATTCCAAAACATTATCTGAATTACAACGTAATGTTCAGTGAAGTGAAGTTGAATGTGTATTTTATAGAAGAATGTATAGAAACTAACTTATGTTCAGAAGTTTACTATTAATGCTTAACATCGCTGTTGTGTTCTACCTATTGGATAAACTCTCACACGTTATGCACTTAATCATATGAACTCTCAACAAGAAGAGAAAAGAAATTTAATAAGCAGAAGAAAAATCTAAACAGACAGAAAATTTCAGAAATGAAGTTTCCACTTAACATAAGTAAGTTTGTATTAATTTTACCAAGACAGAGTGAGATGCTTTATCCCTAGGTTGTAAACTTTACGATTTCAGAAAATGTTTAATAAAATGGACGTTGAAATTCAATCTGAAAACCTTTATGTTCAAACATTGGAGTTGGTTACCTCATCAAAGAATAAAAATAGTGAATTTTGACGAAAAAAAAACACAAAAATATAAAATTGATGACATCAGTTTGTTAATCACAAATACAAACCTTCACATTCAGTAAAATCAAGGTTATAACTATTGAATAAATTGATGAGTAAATGTTTCATACATCTACGTCAATATTCATACTGGTATAAAGTAAAATTTGACAGACAAAACTTAAATAGTTTGCATTTACGATCCAGTTCGCGGGTATCAGACCAGTGACCTTCGGTCCGGCGCGCGCAAACGCTTAACTTCTAGATGAATGAGTTAGTATCCAATGTCTAACATCAATCAACCCATGATCTTGCACAAGCTTCATCCACTGCTTTCGATAGGTAGCTGCCTCACACCAGACAGGGATGAAATCCACTGGTCATGGCTTCTCTCGAGAACTCCGAGAATTCCCTCAAGAAGCTTGTCACAAGCGAGAACATTTTTATGACTTTCATAATAGAGTTGTGAAGAATGTTGAGCCCCATGTTAGGACGAAATGACTGTTCAATATCTTCAGGTTTCTAATAGTGATCTAACGATGATCGATTCATGATTTCAATGAAACTCAACAATCTTTACAACTTTATAATAAAAGTTTAAATAAGATAAACATTTGTTTTGCATTACAGCATTGGTCGCAATTGAAAAACATTAAATTTTTATTACTTTTTAAAAAAATTGAACAATGAAACATACCATTAAATCTGTGAATTGATCAAAATTCAATTGATAATCACATATGCTACATGTAAGTATTAAGTCATTTAATTCTTTATTATTATTATTATTATTATTGTCATCTTGTTCATAAAATTTTCCATTTTTATTGAAATTTTTCAACATTAATAAATCCAAATATTTTATATTTTCCAACAATGTTTGTTCATTGTTCAATGTATCATTTACCATGGTCATATCAGCTTTGTTTTTTGTTTTAATATACTCTTGTATGAATTTATGTGAATTAAACTGATCAATTGTTGATTGATTTGTTGAATTTTCTGGTAACTGATTAAAATGTAAAGCCATATGTTGAACAAACATATTGAAATTCACTGTTTCCATTTGACATATTGAACAAATGAATATGTCAGAATTGATCATTGAATGATTAAATTGTTGTTTTCCTTGATGTTTTTGTTGTTGTTGTTGTTGTTGGTATTGTTCATTATTATTTCTAGATTTATATGAATAAAAATATGATTTGGATTTTTGATTTCTTTTGAATTTTTTACGTTTTATTTTTAATCTCACTTTATTGAATTTATTATATAGACATAAATCTAGCGGGACATTTGTTCCTGAATGTACCGAGAGAATTTCTTTATTCTCATGTAAATCATACATTTTCTATCCAGAAAAAAAGACAAAATATTAAATCCAGTGTTTATGTGAACAATTGGTAAGTTAGATAAGTTTAAATTCTCTACGAAGATCATTGTTTCTGTTGTGATTGAAAATACTATACACTGCTAAAATATGTAAACAACCAACAAATGTGTTACTAGTTTTGTAGGTGCATTGTATTCTAAGTCGAGGCTCACCGATTTATGTGCAGGTGGCTACTTTATGTTCGTCGTCGGAGTCATCATTTTAGTGGCCCATGACATAACTCCATATTTACTAACAGTCGAATATGCAATGAAATAAATCTCTCCTCCAGTTCCTGTATATAATACTTAGGTGAACCCCGTTTATGTGATGATGACAGTAGGAAGCCAAATACGGATTTGGTTGAATGAGTTTATATCATGCAATCGTTCATGCAGACAGACATGATAATGAAAAGTACACAAGCTGAGTGAAGCGAAGGAGAGAAGCAGAGCGAGCCAACTCCGCTTCGCTTTGCTTTCCTTGTATGCTTTTCATTCTCATCTACCTGCTTAATTGAACTGAGTACTTTATCATGAAATGCCAAGGTTCGATCTATGTTAGTGTTTCTAGCTAGAACAGTTGAGAAGATTCATACTAATGTAATGAAAAAAAGGCATCAAAACCCGATGATACAATTCACTAGTCAAAATATGTACCACTAATCTTTAGATTTCCATTTGCAAAACAAGCAGATTATTGACTGTCATCTTTCATATGTCTTCTGATCCGAAAAAAACACTTTGAGTTCATCATGCTGATACTCTTCCCTTCAGTAGTGACTTCTAGATGATACTCAACTGCGGACTAATTAGAACTTATGGTGCGAGTAGAGCCCATCATATTAGTATGAAATAATTGTTTAATTCTATATTCTTTACTACTAAACAATAGAATGCAAAGGATAACGCATACAAAACCAGTAGAATAGAAGCGATTCTGGACAGAAGATGAAATAAGTGTTAAACCAAGGAATGAGCTAATTAAAATACAACGCTTTCTTATTTTATCATTAAAAGACTAATGTCAGACTAATGGAGAAACCTAGAGAGCACTTAAGAGATTAGGTAGATTAATTGAACGATTAAAGTCAATGAAACTTTTTTAGTGATACAACATAGAACAGTTTTACTCTTATCCTAGTAAATATGCTTTTCTACAAGTAATTTTACAGACATAGCGTAAGAAAAAAAACAAATCCACCCATGATTTTCATTATAGAGTTGTGAAGATTGTTGAGTTTTATTGAAATCATGAATTGATCATTGTTGTTAGAGTAACATTAGAAACCAGCAAGCACTGGATAACCGTTTCATCCTGATATGGGATTCGTCAGCAGTGCGCATCCACGACTCCTGCTCCTCGCACTGCTGATGAGTCCCATACCAGGACGAAACGGCCGTCCAGTGCTTCCAGGTTTCTAATGGTGGTCTAACAATGATTGATTGATGATTTCAAATGTGTAAAAAAACAATAAATTTAACCGAATTAGACAATGATTTTTGGTTCATTTTTGATAAAATTCATTATTTATCAATTCAAAAAAAAAGCAACTGCCTTCGAAATGAATTTCCAAAGTTCTAGATGATAAAACACTGTCATTGACGACATAGTTTATTATCATATTGGGAGTTAGACAAAAATAAATGGTTGAGTTTGTTTTTTAATAATTGTGAAAATTTACATTAAATAGTCTTAAAAATAATAGTGGTTAAATAAGCGTAACATTTCATGTTAAATTATTGGTAAATTTATAAGTTTATAATTCTGAGGAACTTAAAGTCGAAACGATTCAACTATTCAGTGTTTATGGAATAAATGCTAAAAGATACTACTCCTAACTCAGGTCTCATACGGTTGGAAAAGCGAAATTTTTGCTATTATCATCCGACATGAGACAAAGGGTAATAAGAGTGTTTGAGCCCATCGGTGTCAAGCCGCGCTCAACCTCATACTATGTATAAACCTGAAGCTATATTGCTATATAGAGCTGAATGCTTCCTATAAGATCATAAATTCATTGTGAACATTGTGGATGGTTTGACATTACTTTACGGCAAGTTTTACTAATAGTCCATATATAAATTTAGTTTACAGGGTATCCGACTACATTGATAACGGTAGTTGCCTTGCAACATTCTCGAAGGCCATTGTCATTGGCACGCTCTGTATTACATATCACCATTGGTAACAATCATAGAAGTGAGGTAGGTCAAATCCGCCTGTACCATCTGTGCTTACTTATTGACACATTGACGGATCGGAAATAATCACTACATGTACTTGTAAAGATAAGTGGTGTGAATGGTCAACCAGGGTGTCAGGTACCTGTGTGGTGGTTAGACCAAGGGACTGAACCGAATTGTTCACGTTGTAGTGTTAACACATGGGCTGTCTGTTTGGTTCTCCTGAAAACCGATATAAAATTACCCCTGCCAATTAAGGGTGAATTTATATTGTTGTTGTTGTTGTGTATTTCAAGTCATTGGAAAATTGCGTAATATGCTTAATACTATTGACAATAAATATGATGTCAAAAACTGTACGCAAACAATAAATTTGTGTATTTTTACAATAATTTAAATCAAAGCATAATAACACTTGTTGGAGAAGCTTTGTAAGATGTAAAAACCTTTACCTATCTGGTCAGCATCATTGATATACAAGGTGGATCTAACACAAATGTGAAGACATGGATTCAGAAAGCAAGGCCAGTATTTCTACAATTGAAGAACCTATGGAACTCAAAACCAACATCTGTCAGTGAACATCGAAGTAACAATTTTCAATACAAATGTCAAGAAAGTTCTACTGTATTGGGTGGAAACTTGGAGAAATACCAAAGACATTTTCCAGAAGATACAAGTGGTGAATAACAGTCGTCTACGCAAGATACTCCTCATCTGTCTGTAAGACACCATCAATATCAACCTACTATGGAAGAGAACAAATCAAATTCTATCGGAGGAAGAAATTAGGAAGAAGCGGTGCAAGTAGATAGGACACACAATACGGAAAGCAGCCAACTGCGTCACAAGACAAGCTCTCACTTGAAATCCTCAAAACCATAGGAAAAGAGCAAGATCAAAGAACACACTTCACCGAGAATGGAAAGTGAACAGCAATTGAGTAGAACAGCTAAGGAAAGTCCAGGACAGAGTAGGTTGGAGAATGCTGTTCGTCGACCTATGCCACACTATAAGTAACAGGCTTAAGTAAGTAATCCATTAATAAATCGAATCGAATCTACTCATCAAAATTACATGACATTATTTTTAAAAAAATCGGCAGAAATAATTAAGAAAAAATGCACACTTTATAACTATGATTGTAGTTTTTTTAAAAAAAAACAGAAAACGATTACTTACCGGAAAACGTAAAATATTGAAGTAATTTCTAAATTATAACAGATTTTATTATTCAAATTGTAGATAAATGAAAATTTGAATACTTCCTAATTTATGATTGGCTAATTAAATGATAACCATTTAAATCTACAGTTTTATATTTGATAGGCTGTACATATCAGCATATATATATATGAACAAATTAAATACTTCCTTAGGTATCATCTGTACACAAATACGGACATAAATACTTTTGGGTATAAAACCGTAGATATATAAACTTAAGCATTCTAGTGAATATTTTGAATTATTTTTTTTCTGTAAATCCCTTTCGCATATACATATATATGTATATAGATAGATATATATTTATATATCTTCTGTATATACATCTATTCTTTATAACTCCCTTGATACAATTGAATATTTGAATGCACTATTATTTCCCCAAACGAATTAGTCTCCTGATATATATTTATATTTATATATATTTATATAAATATATGTATATAATTTCTGTGTTAACATTCCTTAGAGAATTGAAAAGGTTTTGCGGGTTACCCTTCTTATTCAAATTGTACTCTTTAGGGAATTATTATGCATTCACTTACAAATAAACACACAGGAAAAAAATTTATGTATATATATGTATATATGTATCTATGTAAATGACACAAATTTAAAAGTTTAAAACCTTAAACTGTAGCTAAACCATTTTTATTTTGCTCTTGTGTCTATATACTCATTCTTTTCTATTCTACTTTTCCTTTCTCTTTCTCTCTCTTTCTCTCTCTCCACTTAAACTCGTTCTACTCTTGACTTTCTTATGTTTGTTCCGTTTTCTTTCACTGTTGTTGTTGAGTGTATTATGTGTGAGGTAGATTTACCTATTAAGATTTTTTCTTTTAAAAAAACAAAATTATTTTCATCTCTCTCACTCACTCAGTCACTCACTCACTCACTCACTTCAAAATGTAGAAAAACTTAATTAAAACAAACGAAATTTCAGGTCAATCACTTCGGTTTGTTTTAGTCTTCTCGATAAAATGAAAAAAATTAACATTCTCTACTTCTTTTCTGCTCTTCTTTTTTTTTTATTTGGTGGTAGTGTATATTTTGAAATTGATTAACTTTAAATCATTCTTGCATTGTTATGATTAGTATTTATGTGTACTTACATAAGCCAATAATGAACTGAAATGAATGACCAGTAGATTAGTGATCAATCAATATAACCATGAATCTTAAAGATGAACAATGTCATTATATGTATATGGATTGTTCCACCTTGTTATGGTGATATCGTGATCTATCAACTGTGTTGACTTAATGACTAATATATAAATGATGACAACTAAATAATGGGTGGACAAGCGCTTCGTCCCAGTACGGGACTCATCAGTAGTGCGCATCCACGACTCCTGTACCTCACAGGATCCGGACCCAGGACCTTCGGACGACTGACCTTTACACCACGGGGCCGGCATGCAGCGGTGTTAATGTCTAACTCTGACCAATCTACAAATTTTGCACAATCTCACCTCTACCTCAATGTGCAAAAAACACTGATCTCCATAACATTGTTAACTTTCTATATGATAGGGTTGTGTAGATTGTTGAGTTATTATTTTT